GCAGTCCGTGCATACCGGTAACATCTTTCCCTTATCCTTCCCTCTTCTCCATTGAGGGCAATGTCGATTTTAAGTGTGGGGGGGATGTTTATCTTTTGACTGCATTAGATCTGTTTGTGTGCTTGGAGCCTAGTCCACTGTCCAAATTTTTAAATTTGAGGGCTCCAAGTACGTGTTCCTTGCAATTGCCTGCTCAGTATGCTTTGAATTGACAGTCTTTATAGTGATATGCAACCTAGGGAGGTAGTGTAGCACTATGGAGGATGTCGATGCATTTAAGAAGTCTCATTTCTTCTTCATATTGTGTTGGCTTATTGAGTGAATTAGTGATCTTAGGACCCTTGAATTGTGTGGTGTTGTGGATTCTCTGCCTGTCATGGACTCTTGTGTCATGTTTTGAAAATAACAGGTGCTCGAAAATGTGCTTCAAAATAAATGTCTCCCGTGCGAATAGGGCGAAAGTGTGTAAGGGGAGACGGGAATCCGTTCCCAATTTCCACCTACTACCTCCAGCCCCCTTACATGTCTTTCCCCCGCACGAGGCTCGAGACATCCGCTCCTGGCATGGCCGGTAAGAGCAGGTTGGGACTCTTGAAAAGAAAAGAAAATAACAGAAAACAAGCAAAACAGAAAGAAAAGGGGTTCCAACCATCCTTAAGCAGAAAATAGAGCACCTTGAAAAATGTGAGTCCATGATCTGTTGTTTTTGAGAATCTCTTCATCCACAATTCATTTGTCCTCTGTTCACTATTTGCCATGATGCCGACTCGCCGAAGAAGTTATGAGATGACTTGTGCGTCGGTTGACCTCGTAAGTTGCTAAATGATCTAGGAAGTCCTCTACCTACGATCTGGGTTGTTTGTTGCTAAAGAGGTCTGGAGAGTTGCATTGGTTTGAGTTAGGTTTGCTTGGGGACAAGCAAACGGTTAAGTGTGGGGGAGTTTGATAGACCGTTAGTTACACATGTTTTCACCCCTGTTCTTACACCGTTTGAGAGGTGGTTTCTCGTGTTTTAGACCGATTTCACGCTAGGTTGTGCTTGTTTGTGATATTTCAGGTCTTGGCAAGTGAATGAAGGTTTAGGAGCGAGTTCGGGGTCGATTGGGCGAAGTTCGGGCGCGAGGCAAGTCGCAAAGGAGGTCACACGGGCTGCCCTGATGTTCACACGGCCGTGTGAAAGAATGGCCTGGCCGTGCGAGTTTCGCCGAGAGCACACACGGGCAGAGCAGAGGATCGACACGGCCGTGCAAGTGGCCGGGTTGGCCGTGCCACATTCTGCGAGACCAAACACGGGCAAGAGGGGATGTCCACACGGCCGTGCCATTCTGGCCGTGCAAAGAGCCTGGAATTCGAACTAAATGAAACGATGCATTTTGACTCACACGGGCAACTGGGTGAGCTGCACGGCAGTGCCACCCTGGCCGTGTGAGTCGGGATTTTCTCCTTTTAAGCAGAATTTCAGCCACAATTCGAGAGGATTCGGGTTTTTGAGAAAGAGAGCGATTCCTAGAGAGAGAAAGTGACGAGCAAGAGTTCCCAAGTGCCCTAGATTGATCTTCAACACCATTGGAGGCCAGCTTGAGCTTGGAGAAGTGCCGATCAACGTCCAGAAGCAGGAATCCATCCTTCGCAGTATGAATTCCGTGTCTGATTCTGCTTTTGCTTTCTTCTCCATGGAGTAGTTCTCCCATTCATCTGGGTATGGAGAACCCTAGATTTGTATGTTAGGCTTTGATTGTATGAACCCAAGTACTGATTCTGGGATTGATTATATTCGATTGAGGTTTTAATGATTGAATGACTTGAATCCTGATCAAATTCCTGTTGTTTCTGCTTTAACCTAGAATGAGAATATCTGCCTAGGTTAATAGAGTATCCTTGATTGAAGGTAGGGAGTTGGTGACTTTAGTCGAGGAGCCAACTCACTATTCTGTACCGGATTTACTCCGGTAGTGGAGGTTTTGTTCTTAGGGCCTCAATCTGTCTACTCCGGTGGAGGTTAGTCGCCCGCTAGAGAGTCAGATTGAGAGGGTCTGAAGACCTTTAGTCGAGACTTCAGGCTGTTTAAGAACCTTCCGCAGTATAACTATCATAGAAACTGAACTTGGTAATTACAATCCGGCTTAACTGCAGTCTAGGGGGAACCATATCCGGGTGACCTCTTTAACCTGAATACAACCGTTTACCTGCTTTGTTAGTTTGATAGTTTAGACTTGCATTCCAGTTTCATTGCTAGATAACACGAATTCACTGAGTAGTCATCATATCTAGGACCCGGGTTGATAATTAAACCTAAACCCGCTATACTACGCTTTAGGAAGTGGTTGCACTTGGCCAATTCCTAGGGTGACAGTAGAGTCGAGTCAAAAGGCAAGAACTAAAATAACAACAAAGAGACCACGACTAGGAGAAGGACCATTCCAACCTCGTCGTGGCATGATCAAAACGTGGGGGCTCGGATGGACATGAGCAAAAAGATTATCGAGAGTTTGGCCAAGCAAGACAACATTTGAACTATTCCTTTTTCGTTTTTTATGTGGTTGTACTTTTTTATGTGGTTGCCAAGTTGGAATGACATTAATACTAGTTGTATCGCGGTTTGTCGAAAAACGACTTTGTTTTATACGGATTTGTTTAAACTCAATATCAACACAAACAAACATAGATAAACATCCACACAAAACAAATATTCAAACCACCCACACTAATATGGGTTCACCATAACAAATATCCACACCACCCAGACTAATATCCCACCGTCTAATACCAATATCTAGTCATTCCATAATTAATATCCTCACCATCACAGACTAATACCCACTACACACAAACTGATATCTGACCATCGCGAACTAATACTCACTATGCAGAAAAATACCCACACATCGCAAACTAATTTCTTCACATCACATAATAATATCCTATCACCACAGACAGATATCGAATCACCCTACATTGTGTTCATATCCATTTCCACAACATCATCTTCTAAACCCTAAACCAAAACAACCCTCACTCTAAACCCTAAAAAATATCCACACCATCCAAACTAATATCTCACCGTCTCAAACCAATATCCAGTCATTGAAAAATGTAATATCTCGCCAACTCTAAAAAATATCCACACTATCGAAACTAATATCTCACCGTCTCAAACCAATATCCAGTCATTAAAAATGTAGTATCTCGCCATCACAGTCAAATATCCACAATACACAGACTGATATCTGATCGTCGCAAACTAATATCCGACTACACAGACAAAATATCGAACCACCATACATTGTGTTCTAAATCACCAACCCTAAAATCTAACTCCTAAGTAGGTCAACTGAATGTAGTTGTAATAAGTTGGGGGGTTTTGAAATTATTTTGGTGAAAAATAAACATTAGCTTTGTGATGTAAAAGGAGGATGGATACTCATTTGGACAAGCACGAATATTATTAATCAGAAGGTCTAATAGGAACAACCATGTAGACTAATATCCAAATGAAGGAAACAAAAAATATATTCACACAAAACTAAAATCACGCAAAACTAATATTCTGTTACATAACGGGCAAAACTAATATCCATCCTTTATCGAACAAATACCCATTCACCCCAAAACAAATATATGTCCTTTATCGAACAAATATCAGTGGCGCCCGGACTAAAATTCATCCACCCAAGATATAATATCCATCCTTATGCGAACAAATATCATTGACACCCTCACTAATATCCAACCACATAAATTAATATCCGAAATCACAAACGGATTAATATGTGGGTATGTTGGGAAACCAGTATGTTAGGGTGGATGCTTAAATAAATAAAGATGATATTTGAATAGTTAGGACAAGGTTCACATGGAAATAGTGACCATAAGGTTCACATGTGAATAATTACAAACTAATATCCATTGCATATAATATAAGTTCATAAAACAAACACCCATACCACCCATACAAACACCGATTCACCCCAAAACAAACATCTGTTTTTTACCGAACAAATATCCATGGCTTCCAGACCAACATCCATCCACATTAGAAATAATATCCACCCTTAAACGAACAAATATCCTTGTCAACCTAACTATATCCAACCCCATAAACCAATATATGAAATCACAAACAAACTAATATCAGGGTCTGGAAGACACACACTCCTACTATTATTGATTCATTGGAATGGGCCCTCGGCGGGCAGCCCTAACTAAGGTTGCAAGCCTTATGTGTGAGGACTTGATAGTGTGTTTAGTTTTGATGGAAGATTCACAAACTAATATCCATCGCATATAATATCAGTTCATGCAAATTCATCAAAAGCAACATCTCTCTCATGTGAAAATTCATCAAAAGCAACAAAAGTAGCAGATGGTGGGCCATGTTTTTCTCTCTCTTTTGTCTACTCAGACGGATATTAGTTCGTGCACTTTTGAATACTTATTTGTCTCGGCTGGATACGAGTTATTTCAGCGGCTCCCTCTCTCAATCCTGCCCAAATCAAAGGTGGACCCAAGCCACCTTGTTCAGCTCAGTCGGCTGGGCCGACTTGTGCAAAAAAACCAACAAATAGCTCACTCAAATGAGCCATGGCTGGGCTGACCCCTCAACCCTTGGATTAGAACTGGGCCAACGTGGACAAATCTGGGCCTTGTGAGTATCTACTCACAAAACACCTTGTGAGCAGATTAACTTTTGCGCCTTTCTCCTCCCTTTCTTCATTGAGAGTACTAATATTGTCGGGTAAAACCCACCGAGTATCAAAATGTCTGCCAAGAATTTGCTACCAGTCTACCCTCTGATTAAGCCCTGAAAAACACAATCATCCTCAAATTCAGCCATTATCTTAACTGCAGCGATGCAATAACAATGACATCAAAAGGGTTCTCCATCGACTAAAAGGCATTCAAAGACTGGCATTCAATCTTTAAATTGACAAAGAAGCAAATCACTCCCCCCACCTTCCAAACAACAGAAAAGCACAAAGAATCCAATGTTTAGCTGAAATTCACCTGCTAACAAATGTATCATCTTCGGTGTTGATAATTATTTTTTCGCCAATCTGTAAATAAGGAGGTACCTGGGCATTTAAGAGAAGAAAATTCATAACTAAAGCAGTCTAGCATAAGCACCCTCCGTCTTCTGATGAAATAACAATAACTTCCTTTTATACACAGTTTAACATTGAAGGAGCAGGTGAAATCATAGAGTACTTACTTGAACAGTGAGACCATTGTCCAGTACAGCCTTTACATACCTGCATGCAAAAGAATGTATCAGTTCTAAGCATACAATCAAGCTGGCAAGAGATCACTAATTAGCATAGTATATATAGTCGAGAAGCATGTTCTGCGCATGAAAGTTGCCCGAGAATTAATGTTGGAAGAGAGGTCCGTCACTTTTGGCGGTGACATAGTCAAGTACCAAGACAGGAACTTTAGAAGCATGTCTTTATTTATACTATGATCCTTTTGATTGCAGCACATCTGTTATAGATATTTCCAGTTATCCCAGCAACAGATACATGTGCAAAAACTGGTACTAAGACATGCCTCAACACTAATTAGCAGCAGAAATATGAAAACACACCGAGGTGTCACTGTTGTCCCCTTCATATTGGCTAGTGTTTCCTTGATGGAGCATGCCACTTGTTTAGGCACAGATCCCGATAAAGGTCTATCATCGTATAACTGCAATTTGACTTTCAAATCCTCTGCTTCAAAGGAGTACGTGAGACAGCATAATTAATAGATACTCAAAGCAATTCATGGCACTTTAAGCTAACAATATAAGCAAGAACTTAAAACCCCTTCTCATAGAGAAAAACCTTAAGGCTATCAAGGTTTAAATCTGATTGAAGGGCTATAGCAACATTTAGAATTTAACCAACCTTTTAGATATGCCGCAGCTTTGCCAAACAACTCCAATGGCACCTCCAGTTGTTCAAAGTTAATAGGGCTGAGTGGGATCACAAAGAGAGATAACAGTCGATATGGATAATTACTTCAACGAATCAGGAGAATAGGAATACAACTCACTCCATCAAATACGCCATTTGATCTTCCGTATACAAACAAGCAAATGACTTTTCTTGAACAAATACTCCTGCCACAGAGCATGTGGAGTCAATAAACTCTTGAGAGTAATCAAAAACCGAATTGGAGTTGATCATTATCATCAAGCAACAGTTACTGACGTGCTAAGGCTAACCGAGCATCATCTGAAATAACTTATGATACAAATGAACCAAACAAAGGTGAATGAGCTGGAAATAAACAAAAGGATGAAGGTTGCTGCATCATTTATGATTTGAATAGGAAAATGACAAAATACACTTTCATAGTCACAACTTTCGAAATGCACAAAATGGCCACTTCCGTCCATCTATTTAACAGTGTCACTTAACAGTATGACTGGACTGACGGAAATGATGAGTCACCAATCCACATGGATTAACAAGAAAAATAAAATACACTTCCATAACCACAACTTTCACCTATGTGACAATTATAGTCACAACTTTTGAAATACACGAAATAACCATTTTTGTCTAAGAGTTATCTAGCCCACTTAAAAGTCAAAATTAATACATTAAACAACATTTACGCCTATGGGAAAGAAGTTCACTACAATCATCAGCAGCTACAAGCCAGCAAGAAAGAAAGAAAAGGCATACAAATTCAGTCACATGAGGGCAACCAAGTAAATGATTCCTACCCAGGACACCATTATCAAAAAAAAAAAAAAATATTCCTACCCAGGAGCAAACAAAATGGAGATATACATCATGCAAGTTTCCGAATGGGAAAACACACTACAACTGAACAGTATTGTTTCAAAGGAAAGATAAATGGTAAAAGATGTAAGACCATACTTTCAACAGACTCCTCTGTTCCAAACCTGGAGTTCTGCTTTGTTCCACTGTCAACATCACGAAGTTCAATCTACAATCATGAGTGCAAACAAAATAAAGGCACGTGAGCTAGACCGCGTAATGAGGATATGAATGATATTTCCAGGAATGCAAATATCTCCAAGAAGTTAGAAGCTCAATCCATACAAAAAACTACAGAAAACAGGAACATCCATGTCCAACACATCAAGCACATGAAAACTAAAGAAAAAGACTGAATCTTCTTACATGAGTAAAACAGAAAGCAGAGCTATAAATTCAATGAAGGTTTCTGACAAGTGATTACAGACTTGAGCATACACATGCAAGCAATAGGAAGATGTAAAACCTGCATCATTGCACCTCCTCTGCCTCGCTGCCTGTGCTCTACTTCGACCACCTAAATCCACCATGAAAACCGTCAAAATTAGAATCTCGATTCTCTTAGAATTACAATTTCACTAAAATCCCCAAACTAAACACACCTGGTAAATTCGCCCTGGACAAGGAAGAAATAGCAGTTTCATCAGTGACTAACTGAAATAAACCTGAAAGGGAGAAACATATACATAGATCTAGAACATAACCTGATTTTTCAATGACATTTCCAGGTCTTAACTGCATCAACCGGGAAACCAAAGCTTAATCTCAGTGGCAAAATAAATAAAAGAGAGGAAGCTACTAGGAACAAGGGCACACAAAAGAGAATAGAACTTTTACATGAATGGCATTCACTTTAACACCCCGGTGCTGAATTAAGGACCATGGATGTCGGGCTCCTATATTGGCAGTGGTGGTCCCGTCACAATTTGGCGAGGACAATACATTCAACACCGTATGCAAAGAAGAAGCAGAGGAGCTAAAGGAAGCACGAGTAACAGAGAAGAGAGCTCGTGGGAGTCTCTTGCAGCTGTGGCGGCTACTGTATAGTTTTAGCAGACCTCGCATCATGTGAAAGTAACACCAGAACTACTGAACCAAAACCCGTAAAGAAAATGAGAGCGCATCAATCATATGCCAAAATCACAAAACAAATCCATCCTAACCATCAAACTTCCAACTCATATAGGTTTGTCAAGCAACAACTCAACCAAGCAATGAACATGATTCATCAGCTCGCAACACAATTCACAATCGAAACTTGAAAATTATGCATCAGGATTCACAAGAATCAAACATAAAATTTGGAATTGAAAAAAGCTCATGAATCAAACATTAGGAACAGAAAAAAAGAGGCTTATATGGGCGCCCCACTGTGATCTGAATCAATGAACTATCTACCACCCTTGTTTGCTTTCCCTTTCTCAAACCAAATCTCGGCGAGAAAAATGACAAACTTACTTTTTCAGCGGCGGAAAAGGAAAAAATACAGCCGCCGTCGATGAACACGAATGAGGGATAGTTTGGAAGTGGTGATAGTTTTGTTGAGATTGTATTATGTATGCATTGTTTACAATATATGGTTTTTTTGTTTTTTTAGCAAAAACAATACATGGATTGTTTCTGTGATGTGACAGAAACTATCACTCATTTTGAGTGATTGTTATATCTAGAAGTGGCAATTTCAATCCAATCCACCAATCCAATCCATCAATCCATTAAAAATATCCACCTAATCCAATCCATTTTATCCAAATCCAATTGGATTGGTGGATTCATGGATTGGAGCCATGGATCATTGGCAAATTACGGTTTAGTACCTATAATTTTTATTTTTACATTTTGGTACCTAAAATTTAATTTTTATACGAAAAATATCATTGGAAAATTACATTTTGGTACCTAAAAATTTTCATTATGACATTTTAGTACCTAAACTTTTTACATTTTATATATTGGTCCTTGGTTGAGGATGTCATTTGGATTCCATGGATAATCCACCAATCCACTTGATCCAATCCATGAATCCACCAATCCATTAGATCCAATCCATTTGATCCATGGATCCACCAATCCAATCCACCAATCCAATCCATTTCCCACCTATAGTTATATCTCAACCTTTAGTTGTGGACTTGTGATTGTTGAGAAAGTTGAGTTGAGATTGTTTTGTATCAGCTTTTAGCTGATGCAACATACACATTCACATACCAAACGTTGTATTCTAAAATGCATCAAATTCGACAATACATGTATAATATTATACATGCATTCTCAACAATACATTTATTTAGCAATCGCAACTTCCAAACGACCCCTAAGTTTCTCTTTCCCACTTCTTTTTCTAGCACGACGGACATAAATCACAGTCAGCGATAGGATACACCGGAGGGGTAGTCTTGTCTTTCGATTCGGCCATAACTTTTTGGAGTAAATGCTCCTCTTGGTCCTCAAAAGTTTACAGCCTTCCTGATCCAGTCATACGTAGTGATGAACAGTCGGTGGTTTTATACGGATTTGAGTGGGTTTATAATCATTAATCACCCACTATATGGTGGGTGAAGGTATGAAGGACTCACATGCAACCAAGCATTACATGTGGGTGAGTTGGATTGGGTGATTGCGGATGATGGATGGTTGGGTGGATTCAGTGGATTTACAACATTTATTCGATATGTTAAAAAAATTAATAGTTTTAAACTTATAATGAAAGAAATTTCCAAACTAAATAATGCTTAATTCATATGAATCATTTATTTTACAATATTGGTAATTGTCCACAAATTATAAAATATTCAACTAATAAACATGATCTAAACCTGCTAATAACTAAGGTTCAAGAAGGCACTAGACATAAGGCAAACGTTTGGGTCTTGTCTAGCGCCCCATTCGCCTAGGCGTTGTGAGCGTAACTAGCTTTTTAACCTATAATTTCAAATTACAATTTCAAATTGATGGGAGGAATGAAGGACGAATCGGTGGTAGTTTAAGATGGTATCATTTTGGGGAAGACAATTGTCCATTTTCTACCATTTGTCTACTAGTTATGCTTAAGCGTACCTTCAAATTTCTAAGCACACCTCACAACACAATCCTTTGATCAAAATTGTGATAAATTTTTGTGATTTTAAGGGTTTCGTTTTCAATAAAGCTATATGTTAGAGTTTCGATGGTTTGAGGTTAAAAAATTGGGTGGATCGTGGATCAACCACAATCCCCCGCGCCATCCAATCTTTTGTGGGTCACCTATACTTTTATAAACATATAATATGCTTTATAAGTTTTCTCGTATGCTTTCTAGTATTTGTGGTATGATTTCTAACTTTTTTTAAGTGGCGAGGTTGTGATATGCATTATAAGCTTTCTTATATGAACTATGAATTTTCTAGTGTGGTGTGATGAGGCTGTGAATATGGTTTCTAAACTGTGGTTTCTTGTATTTGGCGATCTCCCTAATTATTGCACCATTTTTTCATTTAATGCACACACACGATGGTCGTTGTTGGGTGTAGACTGTAGTATTAATCCACCTAATACGACAAACAACTATGTCATCAATGGATTCAAGCCCACTCCAAAGGAAGCTTCAACCTCCTATATAGGGAGGCCCATGCCTCCAAGTGAAGGGGTCCTCTCTTCTCCTCTTCCCACTTCTACCATTTAATGTCTCTCTCTCTCTCTCTCTCTCTCTAAACTCTATCTACATCCCATTGGTTGGAACTTGTGTAGCACGATATTAACAAAAAAGTGTTAACGCCCTAACCCTTCCCCTCCCTTGATGGGATGAGATTGAACGGTCGACACATCAGTCTCTTAATAATAATAAAATTATTGTTGGCGGTCACATAGAACGAAATCAAACGGTTATAGACCAACGATGAAACGATATTAAATTAAGTGACTAAAAAGGAAGGAAAATATATTTGGTGGCAAACATGAAAAAAATTGATTAACAAAGTGATCGAATGTGTTATATAGCAAAAAACACTTCATTCTCGATTGTATGAGAAATTTTTATGTAAGCCTTTCATTTACTTCTCTTCCAAACCAATGTTGACCACAATTAGAGTAGGTACTTCTTCATCGTTTTAAGAAAGTTGGGATATAAATGACAAAATTACAAAGAACAGGTTCTCCAATGGTATTAACATCACCAGGGCTGCAAATGAGTCAAGCGGCTCGGCGTTCAACTCGGGATTATCTCGTTTACTAATGAGTCGAGGTTGAGCTTAGCCTTATGCAGCTCGCGGAGCTCGCGAGCTAGCTCGACTCAGTGAATTGTTGAGATTAACTCGTGAGCTGCCTTGTTTAGAGCTCATGAGATATCTCAACTCTCAACATTGTGGCTAGAGAGCCAACTCGATTACCGCGTTATAAGCGAATCGATCTATATAAGTTTGATTTTGATAATTCATAGGATTGTTAAATTATAAATCTTACCCTATATGAAGTTTAACATGTATATTATATTAGCAAATACTTCTTATTTAATTTTAAAAATAAATTATATATCATAGATTGCTTCGATGATACTAATAAATAACTAATTTCACTAGTTAAAATTTATTAACTAAATAGTTTGATACCACAAAGTATAAAATGAGATTAGTTAATATTGAACACTTAACTCTTATTATCAATGTTGTCAAAACAGAACCGGAGTATGAGCCGATAACGTGAACGGCTCGCATTTCAGTGATTCAACCTATATAGGACCATTAAAAAACCGTTCGAAAACTGATACCTTATAAACACTAATATCATAAGTAAAAAATACATAAGGTACTAATTTAATGACTAAAATAATATTTAATTTGCAAGTACCGCATTATAATTTTACACACTATATATATATATAATTAGGGTTAATACCTTATTTTGGCAAACTATGACCATATAATCAACTTTAGCCCGTGGTTCCAGAAATTAACATCCTAGCCTAAACTATGTAACATATAAACTCAATTGGCCCGACAACTAGTTTGACCGTCAATTTGGATGGTCAACTCCATTGACCGTTAGTCAACAAACCATGTCATTGCCTCGTTAGCCTAAAAATCATTAAAAAATTCAAATTAAACTATTTTTTTAATATTTATTATTTTTAATCAAATTAAAAAAATAATTTATAAAAAACATAAAATAATTTTTTTATTTTTATTTTTTATTTTTTGTGATTTGAAAATTATTAATTTTATAAATTAACCAAAAATTTTCAAATTATTTTATATATTTAACATTACCAAAAATGAAATATATAATCTATATCATATTTTTTAAATGTATAAAATTTAATTTGATCATTTTTGGTTAATTTATAAAATTAATCATTTTCAAATATTCCAAAAAATAAAATATATATTTTTAATTTTATTTTTTAATTTTATTTTTTGGTTAATTTGAAAATGATAAATAATCAAAATTAGGAAAATAATTTGAATTTAATTTTTTAATAATTTTTAGGCTGACGAGGCAATGATATGGTGTGTTGACTAACGGTCAACAGTGTTGACCATCGAAATTGACGGTCAAACCAAGTGTCAGGCCAATTGAGTCTATATGCTGCATAGTTGAGGTCAAGATGTTAATCTCTGAAACCAGGGACCAATATTGATTAGATGGTCATAGTTCGGGCCAAAATAAGGTATTAACCCATATAATTAAAAACAAAATGCTGCCGCATCCCCAACCCCCTTCTCTCCTCTCTGCGTTTCTTTTGTCATTTCCTTCTGAAACTACTCTGATCTCTTTGTCTAAAACTCATCACCACCTTCAATTCTTCCTCCTCCTTCCTTAACCCACACACCCTCTTTCTCATCCCCCATCGGTAAAATGCCTCAATTGGAGGTGCGACGGCCGGAGCAGGAGCAATCGCTGGGAGGACAGATGTCGGTAGGCCTGTCAATTTGGATAACCAAAACCAACCAAATCATTAGCATGAAAACCAAAAACCAAATTAGGCATATTCACAAAAACCAAAACCATTAAGAGGCTTATCAGTTTTTTAATAACCATAAACCGATAAGCTCCTTAATGGTTTCGATAAACCAAAAACTAAAAACATGGTTGACTTCAAAGAAATCAGGGGTCCTTATCGGTTTATTGATTTTTTATTGGTTTTTTTGTTTTAACCGAAACCAAAACCAAAACCAGTAATCTGACAGCTCTAGATGTCGGGGACTGCCGATGTTGACGAGAACTGGCTAGGGGAAGCATGGACGACGAGAGGTGGTGATGGCGACGAGAAGTGTCGAAGCCGGGATCGAAAGTGACGATGGTGATAGGGTCCTTCACGAAGATGAAGGAGATGAAGAACTAATAGAGTTGTTAGGGTTTTTTTTTTCTCATCCCGACGATTTTTCCTTCCATTTCTGATTTTCAATTTTTTCAATTTTTTTTAGTTAAACAGAATGGTCGAAAGGGGTAAACCGAGGGAGCGGCTCGAGCGGTTAATCGCCTCGACCGCTCATTGACCACTCCAGAGAACCGTTCCGGCTAAATGACTTATCCGAGACGATTTTGTGGTCATGTGGCAATTTTGGCGGTCAGACTGGCCGACTCGATCCGGTCTTAATAACACTATTTATTATTGTTATTTTAATCTTGACATTAATCACATATATCATGTATGACATACAAAATAAATATATCAAATACGAGTCAAGCTTTTATTAATCAAGTTAGCTTGAACTCGAGTTTGGCTCGTTCTCAAACTGGGGTTAAACTCGACTCTACTCATTTACGGCACTAAACATCACCAACTAATGAAGAGTCCCCGCTAGTTTTATCATATAGGGTGGGAAAATTAGTGGAGCGAAAACAACATCGCTCGAATATTTATAATTATTCACTTTAACTAGATTTTCTTTCTGGCCAACCTTGCACCCAATGCAAAACTAGACTAATGAAACCGATAAGGGCTCTAAAATTATGATTGAAACTAAACTGGAAAGATATTAATAGAAAAAAATGCCGTTGAGGGACGCATATTTAGGAAAAGATTTTGTTGGGAGGCTTATTAGGAAAAGTAAAAAAAAAAAAAACTGAGTTTGTGCATGAACTCTTGTTGATAAGCTTGAAGGTTTTTTTTTATATATAAAGATAAGCCTGAAGGGTAGTTCGTACAGAACACCTCAAAACCAATCCACCCAAAATCAGCAACAGTCTGTCCTAACCTAGCCAGGGTTCTCCATGCATGCATATAAAAGCAGGAACTTGTATCTCAACCCAATCACTCCATTGGGGAAACCATTCTTACCTGCTCCACCCATGCATTTGACTACTTTCTCATCACTGTAAAGGCCTCTGGAAGTTTTCCGGTTCCTCCTCCCCCAGCAACACCACCGAAACCCGAGAATGCACTCCCTTGTTGACCGACAAAAGCTCCAAACCCACCACCACCTTGTTGGCTGCCAAAAGCTCCGAACCCGCCACCACCACCTGCGCAATTAAACAAACTACTTGCATTACGAGCGGGACTTCGACACAAGTTCTCCAACCATATCAATGGAAACAGCAAGGAGAAAGGAAAAGAAAAGCCTAATTAATGACAATTTGAACTGACCACCAGAGGCAGCTGCTCCCCCAAATCCGCCGCCGCCACCAGCACTGGCGCCAAATCCTCCACCACCGGCTGATGCCAAACCACCAAATCCAGAAGGCGTACTACCCCCAGCTGATGCCAAACCTCCAAATCCAGAAGGCATACCAACACCAGCTGATCCCAGACCACCGAACCCACTACCACCACTCTTCGCTAAGTTAGCAAACCCTCCGCCTGTTGCAGCACCGGAGAAGCCACCACCTGCAGGAGGGCTACTATTACTAGCAAACCCACCAAAAGCACTGCCACCAGCACCAACCCCAAAACCACCTCCTGGCAAAACAGGGCCTCCAAGTTGCCTTGACTGCCCAAACGAACCAAGTACTGTACCCAGTGCTTGTTGACCTGCCCCAACTTGTGCTGGCTGCCCAAACGTACTCTGTGTAGGAGATTGCTCACCTGTTCCAGCAGTGCCAAAGCCACTAGAGAACCCACCAGCAACATTATTTGCAGATTGGTGCGGCTGGGAAGGCAGTGGAGATTGAAAGCTGAATGACGCAGGCCGAAACAATTCACCAGTAGGCACAGTCATAGTGAATGAAGAAGAGGCAGCTGCATGTGTTCCGAATGCACCACCAAACGGGTTCACACTGGGAGCCACCGAACCGGGTGTTGAGCCAATACCAAAACCTCCTAAAGTCCCCAAGCTGCTAAGTTCATTGGTGGGGCTGATAACTGGAGCCTCCTCCTCCATCTCATCCTCCTCTGAAACTGCAAGATCAGATCCTTCATTCTTTGCAAATCTGAAACTATTGATATTATTCTCAGGTAACGCTGGTGCTTCAAAAAGGCACTGTGCTTGAGAGACTAGTTGAAGCTCAGCCCCCACTGGTGCACTGGATGAAGAAGTTGCTGATACTTCGTTGAATGCTGAGTGGTTTGACGATGCCGAGCTAACTGCAGTTTCAGCTGTAGGGGTAGGCACCATATACAGTTCAGATTTCAAACCCAATGACAACACATTTTGTAGATCCGCTTCAGCAATCACGTCTGATTTTGCACTAGTCTCATTGGCGGGACGCTGGATCTCAGCTGTAGAGGAATCTAATGTTGGACAAGTTGAGTCGAAACGATAAGGAAGACTTCTATCCATAATATGCTGGACCTTTGTCGTATCCAACTGCAATGTCGAATCCGCTCCCTCATCTGATGTACTTTCTCCTCGAGCTGCCAGTATTTGAGTAGCACAACTTAAAGTTTTGGACTGTGTAGGCTGAACCTCTATTTGAGGAGGCACAGATGTTGGCGAAGCTACATCCAAAGAGGACACAGTTTCTCCAAGAGAACTGAGTTTCTTAGTGGTAATCAAAGGTAAGTTGCCAGCAGATGATACAGGAGTGGGAGAATATGCTGGACATGATGTCGAATAACCTAGGAGAGTTCCATCATAATTGGCCATGGAGCTAGAAATTGAAGTCCCGTGACTCATTGCAGCTGACGTCATGGGTAGAACCGATGACATAGCAGAAGGCAGAGATGGAACATTCAACTGCATGACAGTTTGAGGAGATGATACAGGAAATCGTATTGAGGAACCGAGAGGCTGCACACCTTCACCAGGCTGTATGTTGCTATTTGAAAATAAATTGGGAGCTGCAAATGAAGCAGGATCCAACCGAGAATTTCTAGCATCAGTACTGGCACAAGAACTAGACATCAGAGGCCCAACTACCTTTGGAAAAGATGTGGCAGTTGTACTCAAAGACATTGGAGATGACATGGATGGTATGTTTGGAAGACTGGTAGTTTGAGAAGAGGAATCTGAAAGCTGTTTTATGAATCCTAGAGATGGCCCTTTATCATCAAAGAGGTTCTTGATAGGCTGGGGAGATCTTCCCGGTGTGTTTGGGGCTGCAAGAGCAACAGAATCAAATGGTAACCTGCTTTCACTTTCTGGTCCAGGCTTCATGTTAACAACTGCTGAACTAGTGAATGATGCATTGCCTTGGTTATTAGGACATTCAAATGGCTTCTGGAAAGAGAACATTCCAGAGGAAGGAAGGGTGGCAGGAGCAGACTTTTTATGTAGGTTAGCGTATTTCTCAAAGCCAGATCCTCTGCTGCTTGAGTCATTTGCAGAAGGTGTACCGGCAGTTTGCTTGGCACCATTTTGGCCAACAATGGATGATATTATTGATCCAACCGATAATGATGCAGTACTGTTACCTCGTTGCATAGGAGACCCTGAGCCTGTCCCTTGGGAAGTCGACGGGTATTCCGTACCTGCCAAAAATAAATACAAATGTATCACACCATTAACCATGAACAAGCTTTCTGAACAGTACTTGATCATCGATTACCTTTGTTTCCATATGATTTCAAGAAGTTTGCAGATATATCATCTTCCAGGAGAAGAAGATCAGGTCCATCCAGCGAATGACGGCCAAAATCCCGACTATCCATCAGCATGGACGATTTTCTAACCATTGACTCATGATTATCTTGCAACAATACCCTTTTCACAGTCGTCTTTGTAGGTTCAAAGCTGGTCCAACTCTGAACGGAGACGAATGTGTTTAGGCAACAAGTCCTTACAAAATTATCACTCTCAACTGACAAGGATTCTACTGTTCATATAATAGTGAGTCTTGATTAGAGATACTGATAAGAATAAAAACTTAACAGGAACCATATTAACTGAAATAGCCGCTAACTCAATGCTCAAGCCAGGGACCTATGAGTCTGAGAACCACCCTCCTGAGACATATCCGGCCATCTAGCTTCCTAACATCTTGCCGGTTTCACATATAAAAAAAAAATACAACCACTAAAAATCAACTAATTAAGAGCACATGATCCTGAAATTGGGAATCTCAAAGTATTGTTGACTTTAAGTAACAAGACAAGACCATAATTTAAGGAAAATTGTGCAGGATAAAGCGGAAATTATTCTTTCAATACTCAAAATGTCATAGTGAGAAGAAAGAGAAACTTATTGTCACTTGCAAAGTACAGCAGTTCAGAATTTTCAGTAGTCTAATTGTTATGATTGCGACGATTTTAGAAATTGTGTGAAGTTTGACCTATGTGTGGAGAAGGTACGCAAGTCCAGACCTATGCATTATTTGGCAGACAGTGGCTGACAAAAAAAAGTCCACAAGTACCACAAATCAATTGCCAAGTGCCTAGCAGATGTATTCAGGTCTAGAGAAAAATTGGGTCATCCAACAATATAGAGACGCATTAAGGAGAATAACTCAAAGACAGTATGAAGGTATTACCTGATCCAAAGAATCCCTTCTTCTCCTTGCTGATTCAGAATCGATGCCCTTCAATGCTCCTGACTGGCACCTCCTAGACTGGTGTTTGCTAGTAACAGAACCATACAATATATGCTTCACAGATGAAGATTTATGATCAGCTTTATCTGCATCTGGCGAACTGAAAGAGACATCATAAGGAATTCCAATTGTCTCAAACAGCTCCCTTTTTATGTTCTTTCGTTTTACTGGTGATTGTATTTGCAAAACCTCCAGTTGTTTCGAGAGGCAGTCAGAAAGATGTTCAGCAGCTGCAATTTGTGAGTTTGTGCTGTTACATAAGCTATGTACAGACTGCATTTGCCTGCAGATGTATTCCATCAACAGTCAGAAAATATGTCCAGCCAGCACAGTTGCTGAGACTTGCATAAAATAGTGCAGAAACAAAATGCTAACAGTCAAACAATAAACAGGCAACCAGAAAGTATGGCCATGCTTTTGTTCTAGTTAAGCATTCATTGATTAGATAAATAACAGTAGAATTCGTCCATGAGTTGGAACAAAATGAGCTAACCAGTGACAAACAATATGACAAAATTTATTGCCCTAGCATACAGGACAGAAGCTGAAATCTAATATTTATCCGTACCTTGATGGTCCATATTTATTGTGAAAAGCCGACTGTCCTCCATGACTAGCACTTTCACCGAACTGTTGAAGTTCAAGAGTATTGAAGTGTCTCTCCAATTCAACCAACTTAGTCATCAAATCCTACAAGAAACAAGATATGGCAAATAATAAATGAGTGCATTCTTGTCTTCTAGATAAATATTTCATTTATTTTTTCTTGACCTAAAAAATTAGAATAACCAACCTGATTTAGTTCCCAAATGTGCTGCCGCTTAAGCTCAAGTTCAGGGCTCAGCTTTTGTCGGTCCCACAGTTCCCAGTACTTACTGTCAGAAGTTTGTTTCACAATCCCATCCATATATGCTTTCCTTGCCAATACTACAATTGGATTGCAAATTAAAAGAATCGGGATATGCAAAATGCGATCAGAATCATTATATTTCAAAGCCAACTGAGTAGATATGTGAACAATTCTTGCTTGGATATTCTCACATTGCCACTGTTGCAAATTATCAACTAAAAAAAACATGACCCTCAAGAACTTCAGAATTTAGCCATCCACCATCTTCCAAACGTATCATTGAAAAGCTGAATGCATAAATAATAATGAACCTTAGAATCTTATTATCAGGAACCTTTTACTGCATCCTAGCCCCTAGGTACATAATGCAGTTAAACTACTAACTCCAAATACCAAGGATCATTTACATTTTTGCAAAGGACACACCATAAATTGCTACAATCAAACGTCCCTCAGTTTGATATCTGCTACCTATCTATTGAGTTTAGAAGTATGCATTGTCCTGGATAACAAAGCATGAAGAATACTTCATCACCCAGTGAGTTCATAAATCTCCCTTTTCCGCCAATGATTATGTAACACCCTAAAAATAACAACCGGAAGTGAAGCAAGCTGGTATTAGTTTTATTTATTAGTTGATTGATTGTTACTAAGGCTATTAGATTAATTATCTTGGAAATCCACCAGTATTTTCCTTAGACAAAATAAGAGCTCTTAAGAAACAAAGACGAATACGAATAGTTAAGCGAACTTCTAATATTAGCATTTTTAACCCTTCACCTTGTGTAGTATTGTCCAGAAGGTGTTGGATTTCTTCAAGCTGCTTATCCATCATACCCTGGAGTATCAACATCAATGCCATATATGAACAAACAAAGGTTAGAAACTTCAAAAAAATAAATACTATCTGCCCATATAGGCATCATAAGGAGGACCCAGTAAAATCCAAATGAGCAGGGATTGGCAGCAGTCTTCAGTTTAAGGAAAAAGATTCATGCCGCATATATAATTTTGCAGTTCCACATCAGACCCTCCACAGGTTTGACTTAAAAGTGCTTTCATCTAGATCGGGAAGGGACTCCTGAATAGTAACTAAATTATCCAAACAATCTGCATGGTTCTGCAACCATAGTCCTCAAAAGAAAAACAAAGTGCCAGTATTTTTTCTTTACAATGGATAAAGCAGATGGCCAATGACATTGCTGCAGTTACTGAATTGCAGAGCACGCAGAAACACGTGAAAACATATAGAGTCGTGAGTGTGAAGAGCGTGAAGAAAGTTTCTCCTAGACGAATCATTTAAGAATTAAAAAATCGTTAGCTAAGGATCCAAATCCTGCTACCATGAGCTTAATTCTACACCTTACAAGGTCCTCGCATTACCAAATATAATCATAGGTTCTACCCAAGTAGTAGTAACGACTGGAAACCTACATGATGGTTCTATCCCACGAAGATGTGGATAGCACACAAGAAAAAAGTGGAGATCCCAATATGCAATATTATTCCTTGTTACTGGCAACTTCCAACACATTCAAGCAAGGTGCTGTAAAAATAAAACACACCACCTTCAAAATGGCACAATTTCTAGAAAAAGCTTCAAAGCCAGTCTCCATAGCCTCAATTGAACTTTTCAAGGAAACAGTACATGCATCCCTAAAGCCACCCTTTTTTTGAATGCCTTCCAACAGCATATCCAGTTCCTTAACCATCTCTTGAATCTGTAAAACAAAAGAATTTATGAACTTTTTATAACATAGTAATACAGGACATCCAAAAATGGGAATGCAGGACAATGAGAACCAAAAGCTACAGCGAATATATATATATATATAGTGGCTACTTCGGCGCACTCACTTTTTTGGGTGCATTTAATGCCCCCCCAACTGTAAAAGTGGTCATAATACATCAAATTTTGAACTTTAATTGGTAGAATTAGTTTAATATGATGATATAACATATAATCACAACTAATCAATCCATTATGCTAATCCCTTAATCTTCAATTTTGAATCCCACCCCAAAACCCTAAATTATAAACCTAAACCCTAACCCTAAATCCCTAAATCTTAAATAAATCTTAAATCATTCAAAGTAAATCTTAAATGACTCTTTTGCAAATTCATGTGTTTCTTGTTCATAACATCATAAGCGACGATTGATACCATTTTGGCATGAATCGCATGCTCGGTATGACGATTATAAGGCGAGTGCATTGAATGCATAAAAAACAGTGGGTGCACCGAATACGCCATATATATATATTTGTAAAAAAACGTTGACCCTTAATCACTACTTACCAGAACAAAACACCAGGTGAGTGCTAGCATGACCTCTAATAACAAGGTTACCAGAATTTGATAAAATTTTACGACTAGAACAACCCTATGTTAGATGCTTCACATTATAATACATAAAGATGCCACACAGTCACAAGACTAAGCATTTATAATGAATAAAGTTAAGCACAGAATTCACCGGTAAAGTACTAAACAAGATGCACATACACTGCCGAACTGTCTAGTCATATTTGGCATAGCATTGGAGAGAGACTGACTCTTTTCCTTCCTAACATGAGGCCTCTGGTTCAGACCATCCTGGTATGATAATTGTGTACGGATGCAAGGCAGCGATTCCAACTTCCCAACTCCACTTGAAACACCAAGTCTTCCCATCTGAGTTGGCCTAGCTGGATCTACTGAATTTAACTGAGCAGAACCATCCGACAAGTGAACAGGTTTTCCTGGGTGATCCCTAAAAGAGTTTGATGCACTTATTCTAGCAACAGATCCTTTATTTGCTGGGTGTGACAATGATGCCGTGCTTTCAGATTTTTCAGGAAATAAGTTCCCTCGTAACTGTAATTGAGAGGGGATATTGCCGGAGGCTTTTGCAGAAGATGATGGTAGAGGAGTTTCGCCTAGACTAAGCTTTTGAGCTTGGGACCTTTCAGCTTGTCCATTCAGAATACCAAGGCCTTCACTTACTGTGGTCCTAGAAGAGGATTGGTCAAACTTCATACTTGGCAGCCCAAAAGGCAGAAGCTGTTGCCCATTTATACCTTGCTGCGGGACTGGAACAGAGTCTCTTGGTTGTTCATAGGACAGGGACTCATGATTGAATATGTGTTTCGCTATGTGGTTCCTATCGGGAGTATCAACACTACGCATATTTTCCGCAACAATCTTAGTTGACCCCTGTTCTTTATCTGAAGGCTTAAGGTCACATTTGAAAGGGACCCCACTGTCTTTACTAATGCCTGCTCCAGGTTGACTGGAATTCTGTACGGGAATGCCTAATGCATGTGGTTTCGGTTTGTGTTCCCCCAAAAGAGACAGATTATCTTCATATTGTGCATCAGGCACCTCAAAAGGGAAAGCCCCCTCTTCATCATGAACCGCAGAATCTGCTTCAGGTGGAATTGTATTCCCTATTCGACTTTTTTTTCCAGAAGAAAACAATGAAATAATCACATAACAGTACAGGAGCACTGTGTCTGCATGCATGCATGCATGCATTGATTAAATACAAATGAATAGAACTCATCCTGCAATGACTAAAAGGAAACTAACGAAGGTATGAAAGGTGTACCTTGCAACATGGAACATGACGAGCTTTCCCTCAAGAGTTGCACAAATAAGCACGCAAAGAGGGAGCACTTCTTTCTGCTCGTCAAGCCCAACTTCCACTTTCACTTTCCCATGAAAGGAAACATTATCAACACAGAGACCCATGATTAAATTATCATCGCCATTATCTGAAACAAGCACACCAGACTTAACTAGTTACATCTCCACCATTACGAAGAATTCATAAGTTCAGATCCAATCAGCAAAAATGTCAATGCAAAATACATATTGAAGAAACTGAAGCAGCAAGGAAATGACATAAATGGATCAACCAAACGTTCACTTCTTTATAGGTGATGTTGGCTCCAAACAGGGATGGTTGGATGTTTCTCATAATCCTCATGGCCATTAGGCTATCACTATGGGCTTCAACAGATCAACTTATCAAGAAAAAATTTGTGGGCCCATCATCAAATTTACGGAACTAATGCAACATGTATATCAAGTCATTTGCCATAGTCTCCAACACCATGCTTACTAGTTGCCCCTCACCTCTCAATCCACATGCATATAAGGAATCTTCACACTCGCCAAGAAAGGTCAATTGTGGTCCATTTTAATCAACCAATGTACAGGAAGGAATAAACCAATAATTTAACCTCTCGACACAATCCACAACCTTGGAGCTGAATCCTCGGGAGCCAGGTATCTCGATCAATATCGAGAACAGCAGTTTCATTCTTTCCAACTCCAACTGACCAACCAAGCAGCATAATATGCTGATCCGTGTTCTTCCTATTAGCTACAATAGCAACTTCGCTGCATTAGATAACAGAATTCATAATCAGCCAAGTGAACCACCGCTCCAGTGGGCTATACGAGGTATGATGCCTGTCCATTGAAATAAAAATGATCAATGATCCGGCTCTCATTGCCAGAGAATCTGCCTGCACTAATTTTTTGTCCTCTTCGCTTACACCATCTGAGGTAGGCTAGTGATTCACAGGCATACTATCAAACAATCAATGTTTATAGATTCAACAAATAAACAAATTGATCATGTAAGCAAGTCTATGTTGGAGGAATATTGACATTTCTGCCAGAAATTGCACACAGAATACCATGTTAGCAGTATGGAGGACGACATGACAAGCCAGCCCATAAAGCAACCCCATGAATATATATATATGCACCAACTTCACCTAGAGCCATATGATCCTTGGTTCGAGTACAGTAGAAATAACAAAGGGTGATCAAAGAAGATCTATATGCACGACTAAAAGGCATTAATCGATAAAGCCAAGCTAAGTAATTAACCAATATCACCTTATACACTAGCATAGGACCCTGATTACACATGAGGTAACTATGCATGCAAATCTAAAGGTATCATCTACGCTAGCATAGTGAATAGATGAAGTATAGAGACAAATTTAGCACACTTGAATCCAACTTCATACTAACAACTTAAAACCATGATTTGCCTAAACTAAGGTGGATCTCTTCATCATTATAGATATCACATATTTAGCAAGGCCTCATTACTTACCTGTGTTCTAAATAGCTCAAGAAGAGGTAAGGTCCACTTCCATTGGGCACAATATCATCAATTAGTCCTGAAAACAGGTCGTAGAATGAAAGAACGCCTAGTTTGGAGGCAGCCTGCACAGGAAATTTCATGAGCTAAACAGCAGGAACAATACACCAACTATTCTGCAAACTACAGAGCGTAAAAACTTTCTTCTTCGTGGATGTTTCCGTGTCAGGTTTTGAACAACAAGAGCATGACATGATGGTTCATACAGGGAAACCATATGTAAGAGACAAACAGAAGAGGTATTAAGAAAAATCTAGGACAAAGAAACCAGCCATAAGCAATAGTGCAAAACATATAAGAATGGCCTAGCTTCCACGACAGAAGAGCTGTAGAAGTGCTCCTGTCTGGGATAAGTACTGCACAAGGTTTCCATTTTTCAGCCACCCAAAGGGGAAATTCAAACTCCTAATTCATGTAGCTCCAGCTGTTTGAGCCTAAACGTATCAGAGTTTCAGCCAATTTCATAGCATAATGGGTGCACTAAATCAGTATCCATCATCCGGGACCTCTATTCACTGGCTAGTTTCAGCTGCTCAGTGTAACGGTCATCAAATAGCAGGACAGATACAGTGTGCTGTGCAAGTATAAAGAGTGCAGTATTTGAAAAGGATTATATGCAGAAACCAATTTAAATGCTAGTAAGAGGTGCTTCGGAATGATGAAGAAAGATGTAGTGAAGGGAATAGATAAGGGTGGAGATTAGTTAACTTTCTAGGAACCATCAACCTGAGACCTCCAGGTTCAAAACTTGTTTATTAGCACAGCATGTTGGTTATCGTTCAAGAAAGTTTTTTTATTGAGTTTCTGGCTCAAACCCATGGAGAAACTGTTATATAAAGTTTCCCTAGAGCTACAATAGGACCATCTCTTACCAAAATAATAACATCCCGAATTCAGGATACCAGGAAAAAGTAGAAGAAATAAGGGAAAAAGAAAATAATCTTTTTATAAGTGATGTTGGCCCCCAAGGTTCCAAAACAGTAAAAGAGGACTCTTTAATTAGTCATTCAAGTCAAGTGAATTCCAAACACAGGAATGAAAGAAGGTTTCAGAACAACTATAGGACAAAACCCAAATTTATAAACTAAACCATCACATATTGCATGCTCGCTCTAAGACTGTCAAATCATGACGTCAGCAACAATATTAATCTATGAAAATAAAATAAAAAACATTGCAACCAGAACCAAGACAGCAGATCCAATGCGACAAGAAATGCACAGTTTACAGTCTTTTTGAACTTTAGTCAACAAGTATCAGTGCAGCTCAGGGATAAAAGATAGAAAGATTACTGACATCAGTGATTTTCCCGTCTTTGCTTCTAATTACTTGAAGCCGATAATCCTCCTCCATGCCATCCTCGCTATGTTGATAGCAACCAATGACGATGCTATCAACGCGAACCCACCTGATGCAATCCACTGGTACAAATGTCCAGAAAACAGTTAGTTCGATGAAGTTGGCAAAGGTGGGTGTGTGTGTGTGTGTGTGTTTGTCATTGCCACAAATATGTGCCAATGCACGTTAAAAAGAAATGTATCAATGCGAGCAGTCTGATTCAAAGAAAAGAAACAGTACAAAATCCTTGACTGGCAAGGGAAAATCTCTATTCATTAAGGTCAATGACTTGTTATCTTCTTCAGCAAAAATGTTAAGTGAGCCAACATCCATTCATTCAAATGCCTTCTACAAGGGATCCCTTCAGGTCCCAACCACAAATATCAATTTTAGTTCATGATGGAATGCATAAGAGTTAGGATGCAGGTGTGCACCAACGTAACTTATCACATGAGATTAGGAGAACATGGATAGTCTATTTTATATGTCTATGCCTAGGATTCAGAAACATCATGTGGTTAGTGTTCAGCTCGTGATTTCAACCCAAAGAGGAAGAGGATCCACAAGATTCAGCAATAGTTAGACTAACGACTTAGCAATCAGTGTCTGATAAAGTACCTTTGACGATCCCACCCCATGAATTGAATGGCAGAGATATTGATAGCCTCTCTTTGAATTTGGTCGACAAAAAGACGAGTCTGTTCTCTCTTGCAATGGCAATTGATTCTCCTTTCACACTCCATGCAACTATTTAGAGGAGCAAGTTCAAGCATACAGCGAGTCAAACTTTCCAACCTCCTCTTTCGTAGGGCAGTATTCAAGAACCATAGACAAACCAAAGCCTCCGGAGTAGTGAAGAAGATGAAACATTGATAAGTGACAACAACGAAACAATAGACATGAGGAAGAAGAAAAAGTATACCAGCATCAACACTATCCATAACATGTTTAAGAGGGACATCAGGAGCAGCATGATGCAGCTTGCAATCACTGGAAAGAACGAGGCAAGAATTTTGGGAATTTGTCCTCCACTGGATGTCCTTGATTGTACTTGGGCCAGTAAGTGAGCACGAGAAAGAAGGCTTTACGTCCTGCAACCCATTTGGTGAAATGAGAAAGGCGAAAGTCAAAACAGTATGCAACAAGGATTAGACAAAGCCGGCAGGAATCATTAGGTTTTCAAGAGGCGTACGTTTTTTAGAAGCGAAATGACGGGAAAGAAATGGAGGTTTCCCGCCACGGCAACAGCAAGAGTAGAGGAGTCAAAAGAGAGGGAGAGAATGTGAACATCAGCAATAGGAAGATCAACAATGCTAAGCTGTTGAACGCAAGGGGCGGAATCGGAGTTTCCGGTCAAGCGAGCCGCCTCGTCGATGACATCCTTTGTCCTGGCAACACAAAACCCTAAAACAACAAGAGATCCAAAGGGATTTTAGGGGCTAGCGCCAGCGACGAACTTCTGGATGCTTAAAAGAGTAGAAACACACACAGAGAAGACGGGAGAGAGGTAAATTACCGGACGAATGAGCGAGAAAGAGATGCGATGAGGAGACGGCGAGAGGGCGAGATGGAGGGTTCTGCAAATCGAAAGGATGAGGGGAAGACTGTTGGAGGATGGGGATGGGCTTGCCGATTCTGTGGAAGAAGTAGTCATTATTGACAAAGCGAGGTCCTACCGCTTCTTCCTCCAATTCAATTCGTCTGACGTCCGACGGCGCCTCCGGTGCAGAAGCCATCGCCTCCGGTGCAAGCGGTGGCGAATTACCGAGCCAGTTGAATGATATGCTTCCCAACCGAGAAGCTGGACAAATCGAACCCTCAATTCCTCGAAATCGAACTTGGCGGATGAATTGGGGAAGAACGCGTACAAAACACGGGAAAAAGGGCGGAGTTGGGTTGTGCAACTTTAAGACCCACGTTCAGGAAGAGGCTCGTTCCAATTGAAAAGGCAACCTGACAACGATTGTATGACTCAATCGATACAAGGCTCGTCGCTGGAAAACACAACAAGGACAATTTTTTGAGCAAAACACTCAATGAACTGGGAGTCGTTTGCTTCAAGGATTTGGTACATGGATTTGGTACCAAAAAACTAAGGGGTCGTTTGCTTCTAGGATTTTAGAAAATGAGGGATTATGATAAAACCTTGGATTTTGAATATGAGAGATTATGTTGGATTTTGATTATGTTGGATTTTGAAACTTCCATGTTTGTTTGTAGGATTTGGTAATGGCTTTTAGTAGGTTGGAATTATGGCTTGATGGGGGAAATTAATTTCTTATCCTTAATGAACCACTTTTTACTTTACTTGTATTGTGAATGTTTTTGTATATACATGAAGAATTAGCATATGTAAAAATGGCAGCAACATCCATACTATTTGGTCATATTGTATACACGCAAGAAGCCATTAAAGTAAATTGAAACTCTCAACCCAAACCAATAATGTCGAAAGGAAAATCAAGGGTTTAGATTGGATTATAAAAAAAGAGGATGTAAGCATGAAATAATTAATTGTTGAGCTTCATATAAAAGGAAGACAAAACGACGATAGGCAGAGATGGAAAAGGTTGCCGGAGCTTTTTGCTGTGTTGCAATCCCTTGGCAACGAAGAGACAAAGTTGGTGAGATGAGAGTGTAGACAAAAGTCCTCAGTAGAGATAATAATAACCGAGGGCAAAATTGGATTACACAAAATGAGTGGGGGTAACACGGTCATTAAACATCATGGATTATATCTATCTTCCAAAATCCTAGCTATAGAGGTAAGATTTTATAATCCATGGGGCCCACGGATTTTAGCTCCAAATAATCCAATATTAGTGGACCCCACAGATTGAAACAAAATCCATTATATGCTAACAAACATGGATTCATTATAAAGTCCAACATATGTTGGATTTTGGGCCAAAATCCAACACCAAAATACCAAAAGCAAACGACCTCTAACTATCAAGAAAGATGTGGGATTTGGAAGTTCGTGGGCCCCACGGATTTGGTCTCCAAAAAATGTGCAAGCAAACAACCAATTGTACCTAAATCCTTGATAGTTGGTTTTTTTGTACCAAATCCATGGCATAAATCCTTGATGACATTTTACCCATATACCCTCATGCACTTTTAATATTCCAAGGTTGCCCTCAAATTTAACTATTATACATTATAATTAACAATAAATGAATAATATAAACGTTCAATTAATGTGCAAATATGAGTTAGATTTTTTATATCATTTCTTGTGTTCTAGTTTTCTTTGAACTTTTCATGGAACGTGTAATTCTTTGTTCTCCCGATTCTAATATATGTTGTTATATGTTACTTTTGAAAAGAAGGACAAAGAATTGGTAATTGATTATGTTACGTTAAAAGTTAAAACGGAATTTTCTCGTTTATTATTATTGTCCATGTGGCAACATTATGCTTATTAGTATGTATTGTCCTTGTTTTGTGTACATATCATAAACATGTCAAACATATAGAAAATGATAGTAAGGTAATTTTGAAGTTTTGTCCGTGTTTTGTGTACATATCATAAACATGTCAAACATATAGAAAAGGGCAGTAATGTAATTTTTGACTTCAAGTAGTAAATCCCACACCTTTAAATCCATGATAAAAACATCCCAACAAACAAAGGATTGTTACAAATCCATGATGCCTCAAATCCTTGATAAATCCTTGGGTTTTTAAATTACAAAACCCTTGTTTATAAATCCATTAAGCAAACGACCCCTAAGTTCTCGATTAATAATGTAGTGCCCTTACAATGGAGTTCTAAGCCTTTAAATAAACCAACTTAAACCTAATTCAACTACAAAACGAACAAGGAAACATAAATTAACTATACTACGATTAAGGTAAGACTCCAAACTGGAAAAGGAATCCAAACTCGTCCAAATAAGCCTTTCTTCTAGCTCACGTAATCTGCCTCCTACAGCAGGCTCCATAGCTTCTTTGGACCTCTCGTTCACAACCTTCCAGCCCTCCATCCTCTTAACCAACACCTTGCCTCTGTAGAAAAAAAGTACAGACTTTCATGTCGGGCAAAGCAACTCCCTTGAATCGACTTCATCTGCCCGAAATAGAGCTCCAAAGTGACCTTCCTGACAATGCCTCCAGACTTAGCCAAATTCTGGCAGTTTGCCAGTTTTGAGATAGCTACTTTAAGGTCTTGAAAAGCAGTCTTAATGACATTGTATGAACCCCAAGCCCATACCATCTTGTTCAGGAAGTCTTCATCTTCAAAATGACGCCCTAAACTCCCATTTCCATCCACCCATTTGAAAGAACCGATCTCCCAAATTTGCTATCATGTAAGAAAATGCTAAAACCTACCATATTCAGGATGAATAAAATGTTAGGATTGATCTATAATGACAAAAATACTAAGGCACCGCACACAAGAATTAATAACCCTATAATAATTTATAATTCTCAAAGTACTTGTAAGTAATGATCTTCATATAACGACTTTTTTGTTGCGAGTAAATGAGTAACTACTCTATAAGTTTAGATGCAAGTTAGTTGGGTTACAATTGTGTTAAATTGGAACAAGAATCTTGAGAAATGATTATTTTAAGTGTTATGTGTCTTTGTGTTATTCATGATTTATCTTATAAACATTATTCGGTATTTCTTTCTACATGGACCTTAAAATTCAACAATTTTACAATTTGATTTTACGATTAGAATTTTACTCGAGTTTTCGATCTTACTTAAAATCCTGATTTTCACTGCTTTAAGTACGAGAACATAATTTTTGAACATGGTCCGTTAGTAAACAAGTGTCAACCATATGTTCATTAGCTAGTAAAGTACTACGAATCATTACACGAGTATACGAGCATCCATCGACTCAACCCATATTCTTGTGGTGAGCGGGCTTGATTAGCTAGTTATATAGAGATGTATGAATATGTAAAAAAATTGGAAGTATTTGAAAGATAAATTAGACAATTAAAAAAAAGGAAAGAGATAAACTTGATTGATTATAGGAAGGAAAGATAAAGTTAAAAGTAGAAGAAAATTTCCCTCCATCCTTGAATTACCTAACTAAGTCTTACGATTATGAATTATATTGTTCAAGATCTGCCGTGATACTTGGCAAGGAAAGTTTGACCTAAACACTTAATATAAACCCCCTAAAAACAAAACCCTTAATCTTTTATTCTACCACTTTCACGAAATCAGACTCTACATCCCTTCCTTTCTCTCTTCTCCAGCCGCCTGCAATTGCAAATATTAACTGAGGACTCGCACTAAGGCACTAACTCATTATCCTTAACTTTTTGCTCGACTCTTGGTCGTAGCTACAAGGTACGCTGCGCAATTAATTGATTTTCGATTTCTCCTATTTCCACACGTTAGATTGATGATTTGACTCAATGTATATGCTCTTTATTTTTCTTGACAGCATTGACGCCCTCTACTTATACCACATATCAGAGAAAAGGAAGGAAAAGACCACTTGAGATGAGACCCTTTCCAGTCTCTTGATACTGAAGATGAATACGATTATGATGAAAAACATATGCATGTAGAGAAACTTGTTACAGTTATCATATATGTATTTTGATTTCTTGTCACTAAAGAAGCTCGTTAGTCATCCAACCGTTATAATTGTGACGAGACATGTTCTCGTTGTTCATAGTAGAAGTGACGACGATTCTTGTCACCGAAAAGATTGTTGTAGCAACTTGCGCTTTCCGTGTCGTCAACCCTTGTCACAAAAGACAATCGAAATGGTAATTTGATTGTCACAAAAGAAAATGTTTGTGATATCTCAATTTATCACCAATACTGCTTTTGAGTGCTTACCAAAGTTGTCGCCAAATATATCATTTTGCAACGAAATGTTGGTCATAAACGAATGCAATTAGTGGCACGTCATCTCCATGTTGTTTTTGTGACAAAAAAACTTGTCACAAACTGATTCTTTTGTGAAAATTATATAGTCATTAAAGTTTATTGTGAGTGACAATCCAAATAGGTGACACATGTGACAGCAGAATTCATCACAAATAGTGACTTTAGTAACAACCAACCCGACCCTGAGATCATACCTTAAAATTCAATGTGTTTTTGTGACAAATTATGGGCATACATGATAACTATTTGTGACAATTAGACATGTCACGATGGTAGTTTTTGGTGTCTGCACTACCTCGTCACAAAATGAATTTTTATTGACAATAATATTGTCACTCAAGTATCAATATCTGTTACGAATAGCGTTGTCACAATTAGGTTAGTTATTTGTGACGATTTAGACTCGTCACAGATAAAATTTTAAATGTTGCCAAAACATAAAAAATTTGTTGCCTATGTTTCTAAAAACATGTTGCAAAAATTGTGAAATATGTTGCCTAAAGTGGTGTTGCGTAAGAGGCGGGGATATGCAACCCTTTTTATTTGGGTTGCGTAAAATGAAAAAACAGTTGCCTGTTCTTTTTGCAACCCCCACTATATGCAACCCTGTCAAAAGTGTCACATTAGGATTTCGCAACTCTTTTAAGACATTGTGCAACACATTTGTGAGAGTTGCTAGATGTCATTTTTCTCGTAGTGGTGGTAACGAGTGGTATGAAATTTTATTCTCGAAATATAATGAAAATGGATCTCATTTTGTAGATCACAACAACTCATTCTATCTGTGTAAAAAAGTTTAAAATCAAAATTAGAATGAAGAAAATAAGAGTTGAGGTTGGGCGTCGGGGACTACATGAGGAAGGGAGGGAGGCAGGTGGGAGGGGGAGGGTTGGGGAGAAGTTAGGTTAATTAAAGATTATAATCATATGTGGTATTATTTTTGTTTCCAGAACTATCCTTAGAATAATATTGATCATCAATTTAAAAAGATAGAAAACAAGGAAAATGGAAGGTATAGAGTTTGGTAGCAACCGCGGCTACTAAAATAGTGGTAATCATCCTAACTCATCCCGGGGTTTTAGTGATAACTGATAACTCACTGCGACTCTTGGTGTGAATTGCAGATATTTGTGTCGTAGAAGGGACCCATGAGGTAGGCTTCGGCAGCCTCCCGTAGAGTCAAAACGTACGATGGAGCTCTGAAACCTTATATTGGTCTTAAAGTCCTAGGCAATCTGGCGATGGGAGTGGGAGCTTGCGGATAATAAGCTTTGTGTTCTTCTGGTACTTTTGGTTCTCTCAAATGGCAACAATTCCGAAACAAAACCTGTGTGGCTTTTTCACTTTGGTGGTCGCCGTAGCAGACATCCTAGCAACCTTGGTCTTCAGTTGGTTCCTTGGCACCTTGCCTTCAGGAGGTTCATTGAATTGGGAATGTGAAAGGAAACGTTTATTTTTATTTTTTAATATTGTATTTTATTGCAATACCCTCCTTATAAAAGTGTTAACATATATGTTAGCCTATCAGGTCCCTCCAGGGAGATATAGCGATGTTGAAAAAGGTATTGTTGCTCCCAAACTCCTTCTAGTGTACGTATCGATTTACCGCAATGATTATAAAATCGTACTTGAATCCGAGTTTAATTGTGGTTTAACCATTTTATCCTGTTGAAAACTGTCTACCAATTTAGATTTACATAGTATGTTCTTTTTGCCGGATAGCCGATACGATTTCATAAATCCTGGTTTACCAGTGAGCTTTCATTATCTTTGAAATATGCTTGAATACGTTTAACAATCTTCATTTTTCAAGTCCCGAGGAGGCTCTAGGCCTTAAACTCGAAGAATCTGCGTCGAGATTGTGTTTGATTTTCCCCCTCAAAGAAGTGTTGATTTATTGAATTTTTCCGTGCATATATAATATAACAGCCGCATCGACACCGTTGGGAGCTGTGCCGACGACCTTCGACTGAGATTTGATGGAAGATTTGGTGGGGAAAGCTATGGAAGAGAGGTTGACAACATGGTGAAGGAGGATTGAGGTTTTGCTTGAGACGTAGTTAAAATCGCACATTAAAACTTAAAAACTTACGATTTTATGTTTCTAGGTCACTAAAACGCTTCTACACAAAATCTCGATTTTTATAAATAGGGTTTTGCTATGGAGATCGATTCACCAAATGCTAATGAACCACACAGTTAGGCAAAAGTAAATCACTTGGGGGTTGAATTATGGACCCTGTGTTTGTTCTCTGGGGTTGTTTGATCGATGATTGTCGTTTGCTGAGTTTGCTAGTTCTCGTTTGACAATACTACATGTAGTCAGTCAAATGGTTAACTTTCCACGAAGATATGCTGATACAATCGGTTTTCATGAGCTATCTCCGTAAGAGTTTGGAAGACCAGTCGTGGTGGTGGAAAATGAAAATAATTTTTTTTTTAATTGTATGGTCAGCCATTTAACGATAAAAATTTTCATGTTGTGGATTTTACTCGAGTCCTCTTGCTAACATCTCATGTTCTTGGTCGTTTTTTATTGAAGCAGTAGCAAGAAAAGTACGACTGATCAATTATCAAGTCACACATGTGCTTCGTCATACTAGTCTATTGTTTGCCCTCTACTCTTGACATCTTAATTATACACGTCTTTGAGTCTTTGATCCTTTGTGCTTCGTTCTTCTTCCAAAACGAGAATGTATTGAATTAACTTCTAAAATTTCTACATGTGTTTTGTTGGGATACAAATATGTTCATAAGTGATATTTGTGTTATAATCCTGTAGCTCAATGTATGCGTATAGCCAGTACTGTCATCTTTTTTTAGCACTTCATATTCGTTGAGTATGAGTCATCAAACTTGGTTTATCCTACCTTCGTCTTGTTGTTATCCTTGTTCAGTAACAATGATGAGTCTCCTCCTCCTAGTGATCTAGACATTTCTCCTTCACGCCATGATCCGCCCCTTAAAGATCCCTCATTGTCCAACTCCTCCTTTGAATCGTCGTCCATAACCACTAGTCCCTCATTACCATCACCTACTTTCTCTCATGCTGAGGGATCTCCACTTCCAGTTGAACATGCCAAGCTTCGTCGTTTCAATAAATCAATACAAGGTGTGCCACCACTCAAAGTTTCATGACTATGCTGCAAATTGGGTGTATACTTTGGTAGTCTCCACTTGCTGAAGATAACCACAAAAAGGCCCTTTATGGGAACATGCTACACTACACGCCAACTAACACTTGGACTGTAGTTGATAGTCTGTCATAGTCTACACATGCTAAAGTGAGTTTGATGCACGACACTTGGTGGCTTTTTACTATCAAGATGAAACCGGATGGACAATTGATATTTACAAGGCATATTTGGTTGCCTTGAGCTACACTCATGAGCACAAGGGGTATTATAGTGAAATATTTGCTCCTGTAGAGAAGATGTCAATAGTAGGAACATTATTGGATGTTGCGTCGTTGAAAATCTGGCGATTTTTTTAACTTGATGTGAAGAATGACTTTCTGCATGAAGATCTAGAGGAAGTTAACTATATGGATCATCCTAAAAGTTCTAACATTGGCATTCCTAATCAAATTTGTTGTCTAAAATGATCACTTTATGGTCTTAAACAGGCGCCACAAGTATGGTTTGAATTGTTCAAGGCTACACTATTTAGCTTTGGTTTTCCACAAATCTTAAATGATCCTTCTTTCTTTATGAAGGCTTAATTAGCTAGTCTTGTGATTCTCTTGCTATATGTACATGGTGGAAGAGTTGTCATATTTAGTGAGATTGGAGGTTAGTCTCAAAAAAATTTGTCGATGTTAATTTGAAGAGAACGATTAATTTGATTTTGTACAAATAATTTTGAATTCCAAAATAAAACAAAAAATGCACAGCTCGTTGAATTTAATGAGAGAAAGTTATTCTAGCGAGTGAAATTCGGGTCGGACAAAAAGCTAGTAATAATGATGATAACTAATGATTCATCATACACCTATAAGGGCCGAGCAAAAAAACTAATATATATTCATTGTAATTCTTGTTACGTTTTTTATGGAGACTAAGGGGTGGTTTGCATGCTATATTTGCATGAGTTGTTTGGTTCCAAATTACACATATTTTCCAACAGAAAACAAAATTAGTCATTAGCAAATGACCCTCTCTCGATCATTTGCAAATTAATCATTATTTCGTCACTACGTTATGATCTTAACCCTTCCTTCTTTTCATATACTCAATACTAAACATTCTCTATTTTGTCTTTATAAATTAAATACAATTATTTTCAAACCAATAATTTTAATTATATTAATAGTTTTCAATTATTTCTAGTAAAATAGATGTTACTATTTTGAAGACTAGTTTCAAATATAGTTTTTGTTTGGTTGTATGAAGAAAATTAACAAAAGTATCTTTACAAAATAAAAAAGTAGTATTGTTAGGTATGGCTAATACCCAAATAGTATGTTACATGTTGATTGCAAAATAAATTTTATTTTCGTTGTTGGCTTTATTAATATAGTAAACAAGAAAAACAAACATATTACATATAAGGGTAAAGTGGCAACATTATTATACAAATGACTCATTCAAAAACTTTTTAACAAACACACATTTGTAAATGTTTACATTGGCAAATGTCTATATTTAATTAAATGACTCATTTTATAAGTGCAAAATACACAAAGCAAACAATCCCTAAATAAATTTAAAATATTCGTACCTATATATTGTTTCTGTAATTTAACTGAAAATCGTATTTGAGAAAACTATAACATATAAGTTCTCATTTGATTTTTCGTGTCTTACATGTTCATCTATCTCAGTAGAGTGATTATTTCATATCATAATACAGTTTACTGAATTGTCAACGAATAATTGTGTACGAAGCAGACAGAAGCTTTACATGATTCATTTCTTAAAAGCTAACTTAGTGTATATATAACTATTGAATACTGAATATGATTAAGTAAGATAGTGGGTAGCGCATGAAAATGATAAAGAAGAGATAAGAATATTTGATTATATGAAGAACAAGGACAATACAAATAGGGGCATTGGAAAGTTGAAGGAAACAAAGCCAAAACTCGGTGGGAAAAATGATAAAATTGTATAGACATAAGATCACATAATGATTTGTTTGTTTTTATTTTTAATTTTTTTTGGGTTTTGGTTTTTCTTAATCTTTGTGAGTGTTTTTCCCCTGCCTCTGTCGTGATGAGGTCACTGCTCAATTTCGATCCCAGACCCTCGGCTGTAAGATGCATGGATTCTGTCCTTAGAGGCCGGTGTACTATTGAAGCTGCTGCAGTAGGGTTTAGTGGTGGGTACGTAGTGTGAGCATTTTTTTTTAAATATTAATTATATGAAGAGATTGAATTGTAGGTAGGTGGTGGGAGGGGTGAATGGGATGGGGTTTAAAGGGTGTATGGTGGAGGCTTTGGCATATCCTTGACGATGCCACAGATCAATGAGTTGTCGGGAAGGCTGTACTCATCCCTGAGAGAGCGCCCTGGGGAAAGCGTGCTGACATACAACTGCTGGCCAAGGTATGTCCTCTCCCAAATCTCTGACCTGATGTTCCACATCCCAGCATTGTCGAAAGTCAATAGAATAGCTGCCCACGATTTTGGGTATACTTGGATCGTCGTCCTACTCACCGCATCAAGCAAATTGTAGTTCTTCCTCTTATCTGGGCTCCAAGTTCCAGGCTCGATCCTGAATGTATGTAAGTATATGTTAATGATGATGATGATGATGGACATCAGATGCATTCATGCATGGGTTGGGCGATGGGCAATTCAGAATTAATTAATGAGTTACTTACGCCACTGCAAAGAAGGAGTATCCATCCAAGTGGTAGGCCTGGATGCTCTTCTCGTGATTCTCAAAGATGATCTCGATGAAGTCCCTGAAGGTGATGTTCACAACATTAGGTTGCATCACAATCTCAGCCTTGTCGGAGGCAGGTGGCCTGTCTTGCATGATGTCGTACTTGAACACCTTATCAGCAACTCCATAGTACTCTGCCAACTTCAGCGGGGTGGGTGGGTTCACATGGGAGATCCCGTTGATGGCGTAGCGAAGCTTCCCGTTGGCCCGCCCAGCGGTGTTGGCAAGCACGATGGTACGGGTGATGTTAATCTGGCCGTAGTGGTAAGAGCCTTGAGGGTTTGGCCTCGCGGCGCTGGCTGTGAGGTTCCACCTGAAGGACCGGAACTGATTCAGGGACCAGGCCCACCCAACTGGGGCTTCGGGGATCTCAGCTGACGCTGGGCCCTTCCCTCCTTCGTAACGGATGATCCCCTTCCCAGTGGACACCGTCTTGGTGAACCTGGTGGAGGCCACCATGTAATAGTCCTTGGGATCCTGGTCCGCCGTCACCAACACTGCCAGGCACCCTCCCGCATGGACATCTAGTGAATCGTAGACGTTCTGTACAACGTGAGAGCCTTCCATCTCGACTAGCTTCAGGCCGTGGCCCTGGATCCTGAAGTTGAGGGAGGTCTTCAACCCGGCATTGCACACCCTGTACTTGTATGTCTTCCCAGGCTTCATGGTGAAGAGGGGCTCGTCCTTTCCGTCTCCCTTGGCATTCTTGCCATTGATGAGGACTCCTTCGGGTCTGCCCAAGGTGCGGCCACTGTCCAGCATATTGCGGAGTGCAGAGTGGGTCTTGGTATACCAATCATTGATAATGACCGTGTAGTCATCCTCAGGATCTGGGTAAGGGACTGGGATTAGGAGGCGACTGTTGATGTGCAGGCCTCCGAATCCACCTGCGGCCTTGTGCATGGCTGTGGACGGGTAGTACATGAAGCTTCCAATCTGGTCCTTCACCTGGAAGTGATAGGTGTAGTTTGAGCCTGGTAGGATTGGGCAGTTGGTCCCAAGCACCCCATCTTGCCACGAGTTCTTCCTCTGCTGGACCCCACTCCAAGTGATGAGGAATGGCTCATCCAGGTTGTTGAACACATTCACAACCACGTTGTTGTTGGATGTGGAATTGATGACGGGGCCTGGAAACTCGCCGTTAATCAATATTACTTGTTGTGGAGTGCCTAATGGGGCCAGTGTTCCGTAGGTCACATTCCATGTGAAGAAAATATAAGGGTCTTCCCCTTTAACCACTGTAGTTGGCCAAAAAATCAAGGACACAATGCTCAACAACACTAGCCTCAATGTAGGAGTCATTTTCCTGATCATTGAATGACCAGTCTATCCGTCCTTCCTAGATGGATGGATCTTTTATAGCTCTTTCGTATAATAATTTTTCTTTTATCTATCTATTCTATATATTTATGCAATGTTTGACCTTTTGACACGGCTGCATATACCACTGATTTTCCTCTTTTCTTTTAGGGAAGGATGTGATCAAGGAACAATAATTAGAGAAAGAAAAGGAAGGAATGTAAGGACAGTAAGATGGTTTTTTTTTCTCTCCTTTTTGGATGTTTGATAAGATTGTGATGAACAAGTTTCAATGACTTTTGGAATGATTTGCCTCTCCACATTCCATTCCCTCTTTATATGTATCATGTTTTGCTTTCATTAGCAGGAGAGAGTTTGTCTTGTCTACGTGTCAACCCTTGGACTGCGTTTGTTTACTATTCCTTCATGTCTTTTTTTATTTCCTTTTCATCCCTCCGCTCACGCCCCTTTCATTACGCTTCTCCTTTCATTCATTGTATTTGCATTTGACTCTATACTCTTCTCCCTCTCATAATATTTATATATAGTTCCTTCATCTCCCTACATTTATGCACATTTATTTTTCTTTTTTTAGCTAATTAGTTTTTCCTTTTTCTACCCTTTAAAAAACAAATAAGTAGTCCTCCCTCTTTCTTGGACAAAAAATATTTGTGACATTCTTCAACCTAATTATAAGTTTACCTAAAATTAAAAAAAAATATAGACAAATATCATACTTTATTCTTGTATTTTATACTAGATATGATCACATTAAGTGACCTTTGTAGATTGAGCAATTTAAGTTTGTTATGTGCGTAGATCCACAGAACTTGTAGAACCATGGTCATAAATCGACCCATTGGTGATCCCCTCGGCGCACTCTGACGACAATCTGGTGTGAACAGTGAGCCAGGGAAGGAATAGAAGAGAATCATGAGTCCTAACAACATAATAATTAGCGAGCTAATTAACTTTTATCATAAAATAATTAGCTATCTGCGCTAAGAGTAATTCAGACCGAAGTCACAAAAATCTATGATCACATGCCACCAACTGCGATGTTGAAATAAATTATTACCTTCGTGAATAACTCATTCAAAATTGTCAAGTGGTGGCCGATAAATGGGTGTGAGCAGGGGAGAGCCAGAGGGACGGGTACCAATCATTGATAATGATCGTGTAGTCACCCTCGGAATATGGGGTCAATTATCATGTAGTCATCCTCGGAATATGGGTAATCCTCAAAATATGGGTAAGGGACTTGGATCAGGAGTAGGGATGGCAATTTCGATCTGACCCGTTTTACCCGACCTGTTTAGCCTATTTTGGGACGGACATATGTATTCTCATCGATCCGACCTACCCTGACCCGCCCCATTCTTGTCTAATTACATGTAATCTTAGTAAAATTACTTAGGATTTTTCTTTTATTACATCATAATTTAGCTATAATAAAGTTGTAAATTAGTGAAAACCTCAATTTCTCTAATAATTTAACTATATTTATTATAATATTGTTTGTTTTCTAGGTCTTATAATAAAAATAACGAATATTTTTAATATTTTTCATATAAATTGCATACCCATTGGGTTGACCTGCCTCGACCTGCGACCCATGATAAATTATCTGACTTGTACCCGACCTGTCACGGGGCGAGTCTGGGTACCAAGAAACCCGCCCCGGACCTGCCCCATTGCCATTCCTAGGTAGGGGGCATCTGGTTCAAAAAACCCGTACCAAGTTGCACTTCAACCAAACTGAAATGTAACTAGTTTACATTCGTCTCGATAACCGAATGTTATGACAACTGTCTTTGGCCACCAATTGGAACTTATCCAACCGAATTTTGTTTCTGATTTGATATCCCAAACTAATTAGAAGCCCAAGTACCCAACTCCTATCCTCATAAGTCCAACCCTCTCTAGTAGTGGGTTGCAAGAAGGCCTCTTGTTTAGGGACAACACACTTTGGATTGTTTGTATGAGTCATTTGTACAAAGGGGCGCTCTAACCCTAAATTATTAGCCAATCGAGGAGTTTGAATCCCTAAACTGTCAAAATGTAACCAATCATTCAAAGTAGGACTCAGGTGAACCCCTGTAGATAAAGAGTGGCCCAAAGAAGCCAAGTAATCTGCAACATAATTATTTTCAAGAAAGACATGAATAATTCAAATCTCACAATCCATTTCTGGCAGCCGTTGAGTAGCAGAAATCAGTCCTCTGTGTGGGTTGTGCTCCGGAGCTGATTGAATTAGTTGAATCGCAGTAAAAGAGTTTGTCTGCAGCTCGATCTTATTTAACCCTGCTACCCAAGATAGTTGAAGACCATGAACAATCCCCACCAATTCCGCATGAGTGATGGATCCTCCCCCGAGATTAACCGAAAATGGCTTGATAAAATGCCCATCATTCCATCAAAGTACACCACCCGCTGAGTGCTCCTTGAACTGTCAGTCATTGACCTGTCTGTGTTCAAACACACCCACTACCTCAGTGGGCTCTGCCAAGTCAACATTTAAACGATACGAGTCGGGCTCTCACCTTACAAGAATCTGGTCCTCAAGAGAGCTAGCTCAACCTAGCCGAAAACTCTTCACATATTGAGAAAAATTGCTTACCATTGCCAACTTCTTTTCAAACACCCAACAGTTCTGGTTCTACCAAAGCTTCCAGGAGAAAATGACGAAAAATGTGGGGTCAACAATCATTTGTGCTGATATCTATTCGTGATAGTATCTGTTTGTCCCTAATCACATGTAATGTTGTCTCTGGCAGTATCCGTTTGTGCTATATATCCACAACATCTTTCTGCATTAGTGATGACTCGATATTTGCACATGTTTTCCCCTTTGTTTCTTGATCGTTTAAGCTTGCATTATTGCTTATTTGGCCTATTTTACGCTAGGTTGTGTTCCTTTGTCACATTTCAGGTCCTAGCACATAAAGTGAAGCGTAGGCGCAAGTTTCAAGTCAATCGGAGATCAATTGGCGACTCGGGGGAAGAAACTCGGGTATGACTTGAAGAAGAAGGGATTTCTACCTCAGTTTGTGACCATATAATCATGTAATCTTGTCATGATAAGAAAGAGGACGAGAATACGAGTATCTGGGATCAAACGGCACCTGATTTGGAGTCCGAACAAGGGAGAAACGAAGAATCAAAGATAGGGGAAAATTGGTTTCGGGCTTCTCTGAGAAACAGAAGGGGGCCCTATCGTGACACTAAAATCCCCGGTAGGGGATTTTTGGCCTTGATAGGGGATTTTTCCCCTGTCTCCAGACGTTGCGTTTTCAAAAATCCCCTATCGTGAACCAAAAATCCCCGGTCGTGAACCAAAATCCCCGGTCGTGACCCAAAAATCCCCGGTCGTGAACCAAAAAATCCCCTGTAGTGACCTAAAATACCCTACCGGGTATTTTGACCGGGGATCGCGAACGCAGGCTGTTAAAAGCCTGTTTTGTGCGTTTTTGCAAAGGGAGAGCTGGGTTTTGGATCCCAAACACCCAAGGGACGAACCAAAGAGAGAGAGGGCGATTTGAGGGCATTCTTGGAGTGGAATTGGAGGATTTCTTTGCCTTGGAAGCTCGAGGAACAAACCCGGACTTGAAGACTGATCATCTGAAGATTCTTACTGCAGTCTCTCTCTTCTCTATGGAGTAACTTCCCTTCACTTAGGTTTTGAGGAACCCTAGCTATGTTTGTTTGATTGGATGATTGTATGATTACTCTGACTTGATAATCTTGATTTCATATTCAATCTATGCATGTTTTCATGATTCAATTCTGCTTTAGTCAAGATTATTGATTCTGCTTTGATCCTATGAGAGGGAATACCTGATTAGGTCAATAGAGCACCATAGATTGATAGTAGTGGATCGATTGCTTTAGTCGAGGGTTGATTCACTGCTTTGTATCGATTGAGAACCTCTTTCGATAGAGGGAGTCTAGTTCAGAACGCCTTGATCAGTTGTTCTAGAGAAGGATACGTCCCTCTAGGCAATTGACTCAAAAGGGCTTTGTTTCTTTAGTCGAGACTCAAGGTCTAGTCAAGGATTCTCCGCATTGTGAATGAAAGTGAAACAAGTTGGAAATCATCAATTGTTTGTCTGGCTAGTGGCTAGGGGGAATCATACCTAAGTGAGTTCCCAACCTGTAATTAGATTAACTTTAACTGTAGTTTGCTAGAGTAGTTTTAGTTCTTTCATCTTAATCTGGTTTGCTAAATAATAAACTGAAGCTGAGTAATAGTAACTCTAGAGACCCGTGGATTCGATATTTATCACTTGAGCCACTATACTGCAGTCCCTTCCATTGGTTACACATGGCCATTGTTAGGTGTTGTGTTTTAGCGAAACAATTAGTGAGAAGTTGTCGAGGAAGTAAGAGTCAAAAGAATGGTCGAGTACTGACTTGCTAAAACACAACTCCTAATAATGGCCAAGTGTAACTAGTAAGAGGGACTACAGTATAGTGGAACAAGTAATAAATATCGAATCTGCAGGACTCTAGAGTTACTATTACTCATTTTCGGTTCATTATCTAGAAAACCAAATCAAGATGGAAGAACTATAACTACTCTAGCAAATTACAGTTAAAGTTAATCTAATTACGTATTGGGAACTCATTTAGGTATGATTTCCCCCAGTCTGTAGTTAGGACAAGTCGCAATTCACCCAATCCAATTTAGTTTATATTTATACTGCGAAAAGTTCTCAAACTGTCCAGAGTCTCGACTAAAGGTTTCCAGACCCTCTTGAATAGATTACTAGCGGGCGACTAACCTCATTTGGAATAACCTAACCAAGGAAATAAGATTCAAACAAAGTGGTGAATAGATTGAATCTCATACAATCGATTCACTACTTCCAATTAAGATTGCTCTATTAAGAGACTAGCATTCTAGGTCAAAGCTGCAATTGCAGGAATGTGATAAGAAATCATAAACATCTCAATCGAATATATAATGTCAATCAATCATTAATATGGGTTGATACAATCCTAACATAGCTACGGTTCCTCAAAACCTAAGTGAAGGGAAGTTACTCCATAGAGAAGAGAGAGAATACAATATAACTTTCCATATCTTTAATCTTCATGTCTGGGTTTGTTCTTTGAGCTTCCAAGGCAAAGAAATCCTCCAATTCCGCTCCAATATCTCCCTCAAATCACTCTCTCACTCTAGGGCTCGTCCCTTGGGGTTCGGGTCGTAACCTTTGGAATGCGTTTTGTCTCCCGTGGCCCGAGTTATGGCCAAAAACGGCAAAGTTACGGGCTGGGCCATAACTTTGAAGGCCATCCGTAAC